AGCTTCAAACGCTATATGTAGATACCATTATGCACTCAGTATGCTTACGACCGATACTCGGTATTTGTTATAATGAACAATTTGGTTCGATGTGCATCTCCCTATGTGAGATAGTTTGTGTGGATCGCGTGGCACGCCGCACGGGTATGTTATCTCGAACGGGTTGCACGCCGCAACAGTGTGATGTTGAGAATAGTTTTCCATATGTTACCTTATATACTTTGCTTCCTGGTTTCTGAGGAAAGTCCGTATTGGGTGTTGCTCGGCGAATAGCGTGTCGGTTGTGTCCTTTCAGGATTGAATGGTGTGTTTACTTTTACCCGCCCGGCTCCCTTTTGATCCAGGCCGTTGATCAAAATGATCAACGGCCACATTTCCTCCTTACCATTTTAATTCCCAAACGACCCTAACTATATCTCCATTCTCCAAATCCGCCGCCTCTGGTTCCTCTCTTCTCTCTCGAACCCTCTCAACCTCTAAAACCCTAATATCTACCTACCTCCAGAATCCATGGCTAATCTAGCCATGGAGAACCTCTACCCACCATCTCCTGCTCTCACACGCTTGCTCATTGAAGATTCGAGGCTAGACCTCGAAGTCTTCATCCAGACCCTGGCCGGTTCGAGTTTCTTTGGCCTTTTCAGGCTTTGCTCTGGCGTATCTCAGCTTCTCTAGCTCAGAACCATTCTCGAGACTTCCAAGCCTTCTCGTCCTTTCGGGTTCTCAGAAACCCTAGCCTAATCGAGGTTCCTTTTTCGCTTATTCGTCTAGATCTATGCTAGATCTATGCTGTGTGTGCCATTTTAGAGTTTTTTCCCAATTTTCCCTTTTCAAAACTGTTCGAATCCTATTTTTAGGGTTTTCTAAATGTTTCTGATTCTTTTACTCTTTTTATGTGTGTTCATGCTTGTTGTTTTATTCGTTGTTATGTTCAAGCCTGCTCTCGTATTTCTTGCTGGATCTTTTACGGAGATTCTTTTACCTCTTTTGTTCACATGTTAGCCTAGGTTATTGACTCGCTTTTGCTTATGTGTTTAAGCTCATGCTTTGATTTTGTTTCTGAGTTCTATTGATCATGCTCTTGCCTACCTTCGTCTTAAAACTCGTAATTTCCTCTTACTTCTATTTGTACATATCTTCCTATCTCTGTGACTTTGAACGATTCCCTCACCTCCGACTCCATGTGAAACCCTAAGATTTGGGGGGTTTTCTTTTCTTTGAAGTGAAAGACACTAGGGTTTCACTCTGAAACCCTAGGTTTACAAACTCATGACGAGTCTGTAATCGAACTTGTGAACTTATTTGCCTATGATTATGGAAAAAACTCTCATTGTTCTTCTTTGTTTTGAACTGCATGCTTATATATAAGATTCCCTTTCAAAGTTTTATTTCGAAATTCCTTTAATCAGGCTAAGAAATTCGTCACTAATTTCTCTTTGAATTATTTACTTCCTTAATTATCTCAGTATCTTTGTGATTTACAACTGGAGCCGAGATTCTTTGACTGATTTTTAAACTTATACCTTATTCTTACTATTGTGCCCTCTTTCCTTAAATATCCAATTGTGTATGTGACCTTATTTGTGCACCATATGGTCTCTTTACCTTAATTTAGCCTTAATAAACTGGTTCTCTCTTCCTTCTTAGTCGTCTAAACTAGACCCTTAATTAAAGGAGTATGTCTACCCTAATTGATACTAATTTGATTAGTTTCTATGTTTATACCTTTGTGCCTGCCTCACCTGTTTTCAAAACTATATAAAGGGCTCAGCCCTCCCCTTTTCAAAAGGGCAGTAACAACGAGTAAGTAACAATCAAGCAATAATAGGCAATCTGCTTTCTACTCCCTTCTTCTCTCAAATACACAGACCAGTTCTGTGTACTTCTCCTCTTTGCTTTCTGAAATACCCTTTAAGCTCTCCTTGAATCTTCAAGTGTTCTGCTGAAAACCTGAGTTGTTTCTGCTGCTTGCTTGCTGTGGTTACTCTGCTATTCTCTTACTTTGCAACTGGTATGTCCATCTTAGTTTAAATACTGCTCCTCCACTATGTGTTTCACATCCTAGTTCTGTTATGCTTTCCTTTACTGTTTTTCTGCAACTTTGTCATTATTGTTCCTATGTGAATCCCCTTACCCTTTACCCTTTGTATGTGAGTTATGGTTCAGGGCATAACAGCACTCCAATTTGCTGTCTATGATCCTGAACTGGATTCTTTGAATCCCAAACTCAATCAATGCCCATTCCCTTTTCCCCTTTTATGTGTCTGAGCCCTGGACTGGGGTCTGATAGTGTCCTAATCACTATCTAGACTTTGATCTGACCTTCAAAAGGTCTGCTCCTAACTTGTTCAACCAAACAAGTGGTCAGGGGTGTGCCAGCCTACTTTGTAGCTAGGTATGACCACCACCTTTCATGGCTCCCCAATTTCCCTTTCACTTTGCACTTACTCTTAGCTATAAGTTCTGCCCCTCTCTTGCAAGCCATGCTTTGGGACCCCCTGAGCTCCCTCTGAACTTGGATGCATGAGTGCTGGCTCTTCCACACTGCACTATTCTAAATTCTGATAGTATCCTGGGTGTAAGCAATGCCTGGAATCCCTGAGATTCCTTGGAACTTTGAAACACCTTGGATAAAGAGAAGGCTTTGGAAATCTGGATCCCGGAAGTGGCTCAGTCGCATGTTATTAGACATTAAGGTTGAATTAGGCTACTCGGATCTAGCTGTTAGCTTTTGATGTATCTTATAATTTCCAGTTTGATTCATTGGATTGTAATAATTTTGTATGAAACTCGGGGAGTATAGTAAAAAGGTGTGGGAGGGGTCTTTACTTTTCTTGCATCCAAAGGGTAGAAATCATGAGTTAGGATTTTTATTCAAACTAGAAGTCCTGCCTATAGGGTCTTTAATACTGATTCAATCACATAGAGACCATGCCTATAGGATTTAACGCTTAACTTTACCGCAAAATCACCTAGAAAGCATGTCTATAGGATTTAACATTCATGTTCTGTAATGACACATATAGAGATCATGTCTATAGGCTCTTGCATTTCTGCATATACAAATGTCATTAGGCAAACCGTTTATAGGCTTAATAACAAAGTTGCATATAGACATCATGTGTATAAGACTCCTATTCATGTCATGAAAGGGTGTTAAAATCGGTAAACGCATAGAAAGCATGCCTATAGGAAACCTCGTCTTTAATAGCATCATTCGTTCTTAAGCAGTATCGATTGCTGGAACTAGTGTCTTTACTAAAACTGGTAATTTTCTACTTCTGAAACTCGCTAAAATTGGTAAACCTTTTTCCTATAACCAATCTGCACTCCCCCGAAACTCGTAAACCTTTTAATCAGTCTACATCTTTTCTGAAACAACTGGTAACTCTTTTCTAAAATCGGTTTGCATCTTTTCTCTTTGTTTAAACTGATAATTCTTTTTTCTAAAATCAACTTGCATCTTTTCTGAAACTACTGGTAACTCTTTGCATCTTTTTCCTGAAATTAATAGA